CCAAAACAACAACAAAAACGCGCCACCAAATACCGGGAAAGTCGGCCCGGAAAGGAATTGCAAAATCCCCGGGCCGGGATCACCGGGAGGTTGGGCTGGGTGTGGGGTCGGTTCCCGGCGCTTTCCCGGCACCCACCGATCGGCAGCCGCAGGCGGGAGGACATCGGGGTGCTTTATCCAACAGGAGCCCCGAGAAAAGTCGTTTTGGATTTATTTCCTCGCTGGCAGCCGGATCTTTTCCTCCTGGAAAGTGAAACTGCGGGATCAGCGTCCCAGCGAGATAAAACCTGCGTGGACATGGCAGAGCCCGGCTCTTGGGCCGGACGGGGTTTACATCCCGTAGGAGCAAGGGAAACGCTGCTCGCTTGACCGGGGAATGTTTTTTTTAACAGGGGCGCTGGGATCGCGGGGGTTACTTGGACATGCGGGCCTCGGCATTGCCTCGTAGGGGATTTCTTCTCCACCTTTTTTTATTTCCCTGAGAAACCGGCTGAGCCTTTTCCCACCGTGCGGAGCGGCCCTGGTGCCGAGTGAGCTTACGGATTACTGGGGGGTTGTTTTTTTTTGGCCGCAGGGATTGCGTTAACGCCGTGTGTGTCCCCTCCCGGGACTGGCCATGGCGTTGAAAGCCAGAGCGCTTTACAACTTCCAGAGTGAAAACAAAGAGGAGATCAGCATCCAGGAGAATGAGGAGCTCGTCATCTTCAGCGAGAACTCCCTGGACGGGTGGTTACAGGGCCAAAACAGCCGCGGGGAGACCGGCCTCTTCCCTGCCTCCTACGTCGAAATACTCCGCTCCCGGTCGGGCTCCAACTACACGGACTACTCCAGCAGCCCGGCCGGCTCCCCAGGGCACGACTCCTCCTTCTACACAGCCCCCCCCAACCCTGGCATCTCCTACCAGGGCAGTTTTGAGGACGACGATGATGATGACTGGGATGACTGGGATGATGCCTGCACGGTGATGGAGGAGCCCCGGAGCGCGCCGGGCACCAATGGGCACCCTTCACCCAGCCTGCAGTACCCGGCGGCATATGGCCACCACCAGCATGCCGGTTACCATCCCAAGCCGGCACTGGAGAGGCAGGACAGCATGAGCTCCTCCAAGAGGGGCAGTGTGGTGGGGAGGAATCTAAACCGCTTCTCCTGCTTCGTCCGCTCGGGGGTGGAAGCCTTCATCCTGGGCGACGTGCCCCTAATGTCCAAGATAGCCGAGGTGTACTGCATTGAGATGGGCTCCAAAGGTCCCCAGTGGAGGGCGAACCCCCACCCCTTCATCTGCTCTGTGGAGGACCCGACCAAGCAAACCAAGTTCAAGGGCATCAAGAGCTACATCTCCTACAAGCTGACCCCCAGCAACATCAACTCACCCGTCTACCGGCGGTACAAGCACTTTGACTGGCTCTACAACCGCCTCCTACACAAGTTCACTGTCATCTCGGTGCCCCATCTGCCTGAGAAGCAGGCCACTGGGCGCTTTGAGGAGGACTTCATCGAGAAGCGCAAGCGGCGGCTGATCCTCTGGATGGACCATATGACCAGCCACCCCGTCCTCTCCCAGTACGAGGGCTTCCAGCACTTCCTCTGCTGCCGCGACGAGAAGCAGTGGAAGCTGGGCAAACGCCGGGCAGAGAAGGACGAGATGGTGGGTGCCAGCTTCCTCCTCACCATCCAGATCCCCACGGAGCACCAGGACCTGCAGGACGTGGAGGACCGCGTGGACGCCTTCAAGGCCTTCAGCAAGAAGATGGACGACAGCGTCCTACAGCTGACCAACGTGGCCTCGGAGCTGGTGCGCAAGCACGTGGGGGGCTTCCGGAAGGAGTTCCAGAAGCTGGGCAATGCTTTCCAAGCCATCAGCCACTCCTTCCACATGGATCCCCCCTACAGCTCGGACGCCCTCAACAATGCCATCTCCCACACGGGCAAGACATACGAGACCGTGGGGGAGATGTTCGCTGAGCAGCCTAAGAACGACCTGTTCCTCATGCTGGACACTCTCTCTTTGTACCAAGGGCTCCTCTCCAACTTCCCGGACATCATCCACCTCCAGAAAGGTAAGGGTGGCTTCTTCTCCCCTGGTGATGACCTCTCCTGCATGATGGCCCCACGTGGGTGGGAGCAGCACGGGGAGCGGGATGGGGATGCAATGAGGAAATCCTGTGCTGTGCAGCGATGGGGATGAGGATGAGGATGAGGACCATTGCCTGTGGCTCCCAGGGAGGCAGCATGGTCCCTGCTGGCATGGCTCCCTGGTCACCCCAGCCTGGGAGAGGCTGCTGGGGCTGTTGGGTCCAGGATCAGGTTTTGCCTCAAGTGATGCCATAGACTCCATAACTGCTGCCCAAAATGCTGGCCAGGGGGCTCAGCGCAGGCGTCGCTCCCCCTGAGCCATGAGCAGGAGCCAGCACCATTGCTGTTGGCTCCAGCATGGCCTGCTCGGCACCTCATCAGGGAGGGACTGCATCACATCCCCACCCACCACTGCTTGTCCCTCCTCATCCTTCCTTCCCGGCTGAGGCAGTGGTTGGGTGGCCATCGGGGATGCTTGAGCTTGCTCCCCTGGGGCGGGGATACAGCTGGGACGTGGCCTTGGGTCGGTCGGAGGGGCTGCGGGGGGTGTGCAGGGCAGGTGGGATAGGGATGTGTCCCTTCTTCCCACCAGTCTGACTGCGCTCCTCTGGCCAGGGGGGACATGCTGGAACTTCTGGGGACAGCCAGGGTCAAGAGTATGTCCCTGCCCCTCCGAGCCCAGGCCAAGCGGGTTTAGCACCCCCAGGCTCCCTGCATCCCCTTATCCCCTTGTGCTCGCAGGTCCCCTGGGTATTTGGAGGGGTCAGGAAGGAGGAGAGGGGGCGGGAGGTGTCTGCTCTGCCCTTTCTGGGGAGGGCAGCGGGCAGGCAGGGCTCGGTGTCCCTTTGCACCCAGGCAGCGGGGTGTGACGCAGACGGGGAGCAGGGCCAAAGTCCACGCACTCCTGGCCTGGCTGCCTGCAGCGGGGAGGGGACGGCTGCGCCGGTGTCCCCAGATTTTGGGGAGCAGGGAGTTTTCCCCCGGGGTGAAGCCAGGGCTGTCCGTGTGCAAGCATCCGGGGGTGTCGGTGCATCGCTCCGCATCCCTGGGGGAGGCTGGGAAGGCGAAGGAGGAAGGGGAGGGTGCAATCCAGCCCTGGCTGCTTCCTCGCCTTTCCCTCCCCGCGTTGTTTACTGCAGCGGGTGAAGAGGGACTGGATCCCGTCCGGAAGCGAGGCCGCGTGGGCAGAGCGGAAGGCAGGATTTGGCCTCCAACCTTTGCTTCTTCCTCCTCCTCCTCCTCCTCCTCCTCCTCTCCACTGGGAGCAGGGCTGGTGCGGCGGGAGCACCATAACCCCAGGTCGGGCGCTCCCAGCAAGGGGCAGGGAGAAGGGAAAAAAGGCCAGCGAGCTGCAGGCCAGATCCTGTTTTCAGGCAAACAGCCTCTGTGCTAATGAGGGGGGAGGAATGCAGGGCTGGAGCCAGGCAGGATTCTTTCGAAACCGAGCTATAAAAATAAATGGAAGGAGGGGGAAAAACTGGTGTCAGAGCATCAGCTGCCTCTGGGAGAGGGAGATGCTTTCCCAGCCGAACTCCAGCCGGCACTGCATGCCCTTCCTGCACCCCAATTCACCGCCTCCCGGGCTAGGGTCTCCCAGGGCTGCTCTTGACCCCCGTCCACAGGGTGACATTGAACATTTGCAGGGCACGCTTGGTCAGGGCGCTTGGCTATGACGGCACACGCTGGCCCACGTTAGCTTCGCACCCCAAGCCTTGAGTCACACCCCTCCAGCAGTCCAGATTCCCAAACCTCCCTCTAAATATGAGGCTGACTGCCCAGGGATGGGGCAGAAAAGGAGTTGGGGAGGTCAGAGTCCAGAGGGAAAAGGCTCCTGGTCTTTCCCTGCCTGGAGGAGAAGGATGGGGATTGATGGGCAGGGGGAGATGACAGTCTGGGAGCGCATGGATCCCTCCCTTATTAACGTGGGGCAGCTCAGCACCGCTGGCTGTGGGGCCAGGCTGGTGCCCCGGCACGGAGGGCAATGGGACCCACTGGTGCTGCCCGGGGATGCCTGTGCCAGAGGGAGGAGGACAGAGAGACGCTCAAATCCATCAGCCTCTCACCCTTCCCCCTGCCTTGCCAGGTGCCTTCGCGAAGGTGAAGGAGAGCCAGCGGATGAGCGACGAGGGCCGGATGGACCAGGAGGAGGCGGACGGGATCCGCAAGCGCTGCCGAGTGGTGGGCTTCGCCCTGCAAGCTGAGATGAACCACTTCCACGAGCGGCGCGTGGCCGACTTCAAGAGGATGATGCAGTCCTACTTAAAGCAGCAGATCGTCTTCTACCAGCGCGTCAGCCAGCAGCTGGAGAAGACATTACACATGTACGACAACCTCTAACGCCTCTGCTTGCTGCCCCGCCGAAATCATGCACTTCTCTATCTGCAGCCTTGCAGACCTCCTCTGTTTTTGATGGGCTGAGAATGAATGGGAACTCATGACGCTAGTGACCAAATACCTTCAGGCTTTCTTTCCCCTTCCCAGGCGGGCAAGCTGTGGTCCTGCAGGGAAGGGCTCACCGACGGCCTGGCCGTGCCACCTCTTACCCTGGGGACATCCCACCCTGCTGTGGGTCTGGCGGGGACATGGGGTGGGTCACAAGAGAGATGGACGTGGAGGTAACGGTGCCGGTATCTCTGCCCAGTGATTTTTAGCTTTCCGAAAAACCATCCTCCTGGAGCAGAGAGGTGGGTCCATCCCAGCCTGCTGGGAGAAGAAATCAAAGCAGTTGACATTTTGCACACTAAAAGCTTTTCTGATGGAAAAAAGAGAAGAAAAAGATCTTTATTTGGAAGAGGATTTTTTTTTTTGTCACAAGATATTTTCAATATTTTCCATTTTTCGCAAACGTTCCTGCAGCATTTTTACCAATCAGTTTTTAAATAGATGCACAGAGGCAAAGGGAAATCTCTTTCTCGAGCGTGGCTGTTGACTAGGAAAAGGGAGGGAAAAAAAAAAAAAAAGGCAAAAAATAAAGCGCCCCACAGCGTTTTCAATAAAAATGTCAGTACAAAAAACCACCCACCTCCTTCCCAGAGATGTCTGTGAAAAACTGAGCCGCTCCAGGATCCTGGGGAAGGCTCTGCATCCGAGCATCCCCTGGCTTCCAGCCAGCTTCCGAAAATCCCCATGCCGTGGGCAGTGGGGGGGCTGAGCGCCGGCAGGGGGGCCCACACCGTCTGCCCTCCCACTCTCCAAACAACCCACTGAGGGGCAAATCCTGTCCCGCTTTGCCCTGCCCAGTGGGGCAGGACCCATGGCAGTGTGCCGCTGCCTGGGGAAACAGCGCGGCTGGCACGGGGGCCTTGTTTTCAAAGGGAAACGGCTGGGATAAATCACAGTGAGGAAAGTTAGGGCCGGCTTGGCGTGGCTCCAGGGTTAAAATTAGCCCCGGCATGCAGGCCAGCGGGGTATTGTTAAAATAACAGCGGCGCTGGGAATGTGACGGGTTGCGCTCCGTCCTTCCAGAGCCCTCCCCAGCCCTAGCCGGCGGGACAAGCACGCCGAAATCCACCTGGAGTCATCGCACAGCCTCTGTCCAGGCAGGACGCGTTTCTTCCTGCATCGTGCAGCTGGGGTGGTCCCCTTCACCATCGCCCCATCCCACTCCGGCCCCATTCCAACCCCATCCCATCCCAACCCTATCCTACCCCAGCCCCATCCTATCTTAGCTCCATCTTTACGCAGACCCATCCTACCCTGTCTGCATCCTACCTTGGCACCATCCCATGCCATTCCCATCCTATCCCGGCCCCATCCTACCATGGCCCCATCCCACCCTGGCCCCATCCCGCCCCGGCCCCATCCCGCCCCAGCCCCTCTGGCAGCAGCAGCTGTGGGAATAGGGTGGCTAACCCCTGTGCTAACCCCACAGGGGTTAATGCCTCATCCCGGGCCCTGCTGGCCCGTGCACTGGATGACCGTGGTTGCCTTGGCCCCACGTTGAGGCCAGATGCTGTGCAGGACGGCGTGTCCCTTCCCCCTGACAGCCCCGCTGCTGCCTGCTCTCCCCTGGCAGCACAATGGGCACTGGGTTTGAGCCTGCCACTGCTGTCCCCGGGCGGACAGCCAGCCTCCGGCACTGCAAGCAGCCTCCAGAGCCGTGCTGGCACCCAGCTGCGGCATCCCAGGTGCCCTGGACCCGGCTCGGTGCGGGGATGCCCTGCCTGGGATCCCTCATCGCAGCACGGTCCCTGGGATGTCCCAAAGACAGATTTTGGAGGGTCTGGACGTGGGATGGGGGACGAGGGCCTGGGAGGGTGGGAGAGGCGATAGCGGTATCGGGAGGGCGCGTGCAGCCCCAGCGAAGGAGTTAATCCTCCTCAGAGCCACCCTGATAAACACTTGCAGATTTGGGCCCCAAAGCCAGGCTGGTCACACCCTTGGCGAAGGCCGAACGCTGCAGAGAGCCACTTTCTGCTCTCAGGCCGTGCAACTGGAGCAGGGAGATGTCCCAGCAACCCGGGGAGCTCATCCTCTGCTCCAGTGTCCTGGCATGGGGCTGGGCACAGGACTGGGTCCCTGCGGGCTGCATGCACCCCCTCTGAAGGCTGTGCCTCAGTTTCCCCAAGTGTGGACCTGTGCTCTCTGTGGTCCTTTGGCACCCACAAAGGTCTCCCTACCCCACCAGCCACTCCACTGTGTACCCCCGTGTCTGGACCACGCTCCCAGGGCTGGCTCGGCACAGCAAACCCATCAGCTGGAAAAACCTGCTTCCCATTAACATTCCTGCCTTTTCCCTCCGCTGCCTGGCAGCGGGTGGCTGGGGCCCTCCCTGCCCACGGGTGGGTGTTTTGGGGTCTGCCTCAGCTGGGCAGGGGGCTCAAGCATCCTCCTGCTGCCCCCCATGCCTCCGATGGCATCCTGCGAAAGCGCTGAGGTTTGGATGGTGGACCCAGCTCCGGGCATCCCGGTGGCTGCCCCAGTGCTCCCGCCGCCATGTGGGCACCCCTGGGGTGCAGGGTGGCGGTGGGGGGGGGCTGGGGGTGCAGGCAGTGCTCCCTGTGCCCCAGTGGTTTCGGTTGCTGCCCTTATCCAGGACACAGGCCGTTCCCTGCTCCTGCTCAGGGTTGCAGCAAGAAAAAAAACCCAGAGCGTGTGTGGGGCCGAGAGGAAACGCCAGGAACATGGGGCAGGTCCGCTTCCTCCTCCCACTTCCCAAGGCTGTTCTCGCGTGGGAAAGCCAAGGCCAAGGCACTGCCATGAGCCCCGCCGGCACTACGGCCGGGTGGGGAGGCGGCAGCAGTGGCCAGTGCATCCTCCCCGGGGAGCACCGCAGCTGGCACGGGAGGGTCTGTCGCTGCCTCCGCTCTGGTGGGAGGATTCCAGGAGAGCTTGTCTTGCTTCTTCCCTTTGGGCTTCTCCTCACTGTGGAAAGAAAATCTGACGTCCTTGGTTTGACCTCTGGGTGACTGGGGTTTATATGCAGGCTGGACCAGCAGGCAGTAGGGACAATTTGGATCCAACCCATCCCTAGGTATCCCCCAGACCAGCAAGGCTCAGCTCGGGGGGATGAGCCACCTCCACAGCCAAACCCGTCCTCTGCCACCCTCAGCGTGCTCCCCAAGCCCAGCCTAGGGCTGGATGTTCTGGGGCGGGAGGACCCCTTCCTGGGGGCGGAAGCAGTCGGGGGCCCGCAGGGACCAGCCAAGAGGCTGGAGGCTGAGGATGTGCTGGGTGCCTCCTGCCCCAGCAGCTGGGACAAGCGGATCTGCTGATCGAAGGCTCATCAGCTGCACAGATACCCCCCCCCCAGCCCTAAGGGCTCAATAATTCGGGATCGGACACCAAAGCAGCCCAGTGGCCTGACCCGGCTGCTCCCCATGGCAAAGGGGAGCGCAGGGTGCAGCTCCTGGCAGCGCGGCCGGGCAGGATCAGGCCTGCCAGGCACGCTACGCTGCCGGCGTGCTTAGCAAGCGTGTTGGAGGCACAGCTGGCAGCAGGGAGCGGGGAGCAGAGTCACGCCTGCTCGTCAGGGCTGGCAGCAGCTCTGGGGCTGCGCACGCAGGGGATGGAGCCGAGGATGATTTTGCTTGCCCGAAATGACTGTGAGGTCCTATCCAGACCCATCCCCGCTGTGCTGGGAGGTGGATGAGCGTGTGCCTGCGTGGAGGCAGCAAGACCAGGCAGATGCACGTGGGAGGGCACCGGCACGGGGTGGCAATGAACCAGGGGCAGAAGGAGACAGCTCAGACTGCCAGCTCAAATCTTTTAATCACTGCACTTCTCAAATATTTCCGAAGCGTGACCCTGACTCGGCTCCTCCAGGCAAGGCAATGAGCACCAGCTGGTTCCCTTGGCTGCGGCTATAAATGCTCCCTCCTGCTCCCAGCTCAAGGTAGTTATGGGGGGTGGGGGGTTGTCAGCAGTGCCTGTGCCAGGAGATTGAGCTGGGAGCCACCTTTAGTCACAGCTGGAGTTTGCCAGCCCTCCTCATTCCTTTACTGCTGAACGCTGCAGCCCTAGTGCTCTGCAAAGGGGCTGGTCCGTCCCCCGCAGCCAGAGCTGGGGTGATGCTCAGGGCAGACCCTGTGCCAGGACGGATAATCACTCCGGTCCCTGGGAAGGTGCTGAGCCTGGGGAGGTAGGTCCTGCACTGCCGAGGAGCTGTGTCTCTGGGTGTGTTGTTGTTGCAGGAGGGGTGGAGAGCCCAGGCTCTGGGATGTGATTGTCCCTCCGTCATTGTCTGTCTGCCTTGGAGTTGCTGGGTGTGGAAATGGAGGTTAGGCTCGATCTGGCTTGAATTTAAATCAACAGCCAGGCTGCAGAGCCGTGGCAGGCAGCAGCTGCCTGGGGGATGCTTTTTGGTGTCTAGGTCCTCATCTCTCCATCCCTTCCTCTGCTTGCCAAGGCCTGGGAAGTTTTATCTCGGGTGGGCAAGGTGGTGGGGGATGCCAGACTGCTGGGGACAGCCCTGTCCCTGCATGGATTTGTTGTCCCCACCTCCTGGGAGGTGCTCCTAGGGTGATGTGCCTGCAGCCTGCCCTTCCCCCTAGTCTCTGTCCTGTCCTGCCGGGCTGGCTGGCAGCTGAGCCTGTTCTGCAGGCTGTGGGCATGGCCTGCTGAAATCAGGCAGGCACCTAGCAGGGAGGGAGGGCTCCCGGCATCTTGGGATGCTGGGCTCGGCTTGGAGCCAAGTGGAGGTGCTGAGCCTTATCACATATGCAGCAGTCGCCCTGAGGTCTGGCTCCAAGTTTCCTGCATGGGGCAGCTCCTGGCTACCGCTGGTCAGGTCCTTCACCTGCCTTGGGAGAAATAGGTGTCCTCCTGCCCTCCTAGGTAGGGTCTCCTGGAGACCTTGCTTCATCGCCTGCCATCAGGGAGCGTGACCTGTGCCCCCTGAGGGGACCCCAGCACGTGTCTCCTGGCTCCCAGCAAAATCCTGAGCATCTCCTGGGGCTGGTGAGAGCTGCCGGGGGGGGGGGGGGGGGGGGGGGGGGGCTGGGATGGGGACAGGAAGGCAGGAGCCCTGGGACCATGCTTTGCCCCCAAAAAACAGAGTGGGGCTGCCTGCGTGAGCTTTGGGGGTTCATGTGCTCATTGCGCCTCTGTCCCCAGGAGCAATGTGGACAACGTTGTCACAGCAGCGGAGGAGTCTGGAGGCTGGGGGCGTGATGCTTGCATGGGTCCCAGTCTCCTGTGCAGGGCTTGGATGTGCTGGCCTGAAGTGTGGCTGGGAGTAAAGTCCCTCATTTGTTGAAGCCCTGCATTTGCATGGCAAAAGCTTGCGGGTAGGGTTTCAAAGCCAAATGATCCTATCTGCCCTGGGTGGCTGCTGAAAGAAACCTGCTTGGCCTATTGTTTGTTTGCATTTGAATAGGTGCCTGGAAACTGGTTCATGTCACCGGAGCTGTGACAGACTCCCCTCCTGCTCTGTGTTCATCCCCACCTCTGAGCCCTGGTGTCTCCAGCTCCTGCCGAGTGCTGGCTCTGCCTGAGCTGGTACCATGGTGCTGGTATCATCATTAACCCAGGAAAGGTGTCGGATCCACTCTGCCGCAGATGTGACGCCTGGGAGATGGCCACGGGGTTATGGTCTCCTTCTCTCTTCCCAAAGCAGTTACGTGTGGCCTGGGCAAGCTTTGCGTTGCTGCAGTGCTTCCATCCGTGGCCAGCACAGGACAGGGCCAGGCTTCTGGGGGGTGTTGGGTAACCCAAGAGGAGGTTTCCTAGCTGCTTTAAAGGTGCTGTGGGTCCGCTGAAGAAACAGCGGAGGAAAATTGCTCTTACTCCCTTCTCCTTGCTGCTTCCAGGCTGGAGTCTGCAGCAGGGCATCATTTAAACATGCCCCTTCCTCGCAGCTGGGGACAGCCTGGCCCTGCCATGCCTGCCTGGGCACCAGCCTTCTCCCTGAGCCATGCAACAGCGCTGCTCCTCCTGCCTCGGCTGTTCTGAGCTCAAATCAGGACGTTAACCCCAGCCCTGGGCTGAAATCCCAGCAGGGCTGCAGGGACTTCCCGACTGATCCAGCCCAGGCTGCATCCTGCCTGGGATCCAGCTGCAGAGGAGGAGAAACTCCCTGCTTCTGGGGCTTGTAGAAAGCAAGGGTGACTTCTTAATTAGGAACAAAATAGAAGTGAAACTCATTGGCATTTTTGTCACTTGTGAGCCCGTGTGTGACCGCCTGTGTAATCTGGCGGTCAGGCTTTTACCCAGGTGGTTTCCTCAGGGTGTCTGGAGGTGGCACAGAGGACGAGGGACACCAGCTATTGAGTCATCCTCGCACCTGGGTGGCTCTACTTGCTGATGTCCTTGCTTTTGATATGCCTCTTCCTACCATTGAGGAGGTGGTGGCAGGTATGGTCTGTCTTCTCTGTCCTGTCACACCTCTGTGAGTCACTGCAACTTCCTCACTGTCCTTTGTCCCTGTACCTGGGTGTCTTCTGGCTCCTGCCCTGCTTTCTGCTACCCCATGGTTTCCTTTAGTGACCTGAAGCTTTGCTTTAGCCTGGCTGTGGGCTGGCTGTCCTCTTGACCTGCCTTTTATTTCCTGATCGGGGGGTCCTCAGAAGCTGCATGTAGATACATGGGGGTCTTGATGAACTGTTGATCCAAGTGCCCTCGGCACCTTCTTACAGCCCCTTTTCTGCCTTTCCTGGTGCTCCCACGCCTGATGTCCCCACTCCACCCCCACCCTGCATTTCTCTGCACTCACAGGCTGGGCACAACAATGCCTTCCTGGTACCAGCACCCACCAGGGACCCCCTCTCCCACAGCAGGACTGGGGGGAGATGCCCACCCCACTGTGGGTGCAGGTTCCCTGCCTGCAGGGTTGGGGTGAGCCAGGGAGCTCGGCTGGTGGTGCTGCAGAAGAAATGGCCCTGGCCATGTCCTGGGGCAGGGGCTCCCTGGGGACAGCAGTCTTGCTCTGGGTGGCTTTTCCTATTTTAAAACCATGGGTGGAAGGCAGAGGAGGGATGTAGGTGTGAGATGCCCAGGGTGTGCCCAGCCTGGGGAAACACCAGCAGCTGTAGTTGTGGGACAAGGTGGGGAGGTGCTGGGGGGAGACCGGGCAGCAGCTCCCTGAGAATAGGGCATGTGAGTTCATGGGCATGGCTGGCTCTTGTCAGCCAGCTGTGTACATCTGGCCTGCCTTGGGGGGGGAACAGCACATCTGGCAGAGCAGCTGTGAGCATCTTCCCTAAATCTCTGCAAGCTTTATAACCAGCTTGGCAGGGAAGGGTGCAGCCTAGCTCCTGTCACCCCCAAAACCTCCCAGATCAGAGTGGTTCTGGCCCAAACTGGGATGAGGAGGGGAGGCCGCACCTCCGCATGAGCAGGCAGCTTCGGTGCCGTGCCCTGGCCGGGCACAGAGCCTGCAGGGCTCCAAGGAAGGCAGATGCTGTGCCGGCTCCTGATGCAGGGAAGCCAAAGGGTCTGGCCAGGAAACTTTTGAAATTGTTTAGGCTGTGGTTTAAGTCTTCTCCATGGCTGGGCAGGAGCGCCCCTGGACCCTCAGCCCTTCCCCAGGTGGGTTGCTGGCAGTGGGCAGCACCAAGGCTGGGCCTGATCCTGCCCCGGCCATCCTGCTGCAAACCCCGAATAACCCAAGCAGAGCCAGCAGCTTTGCTCAGGATCTAAACCCTGCCAGCAGAGCTTGGCCCTGGAGAACCGCAATCCATGCTGGTGTCTTCCAGGTTACTGCCTGTCCTCCCCTGACCCTGGGAAGTGGATGTTTCCCAGCAGCGGGAATACAACCGCAAGCCTTAAAAATAACCTGCTTTGCTTTCAATGCTCCTTACAAAATAGGCCACGTTCTTTCTATTTACTCCCTGGGCACGAGGTGAAAATCATTCAAAAGGAAAACATGACGGATGCTTCAAAAGGGGCCGTCAGTGGATGCCCTGGCTTCCCTGCAAACCTCCATCCCTTGCTGGGGGGTATGTACTTAGCAAAGATAATAATAAATGTGCTTGTTTGAATGTGACAGGGAAGGCACAGGGCTGGGGTTAATCTGGAAGAGGGAGGGAGGCGATGGCACTCCCTCTGCTCTGTGGGGAGAGGTTGTCCCGGCCTTTCAGGAGCAGCACCGCCCCGGCAAGATCCTCCATGGCAAGCTCTGAGCCATGGCGTGGGCAGCCTGGTCACACTGTCCCTATTTTACAGAGGGGAGAGGATGTGATTTGCCTCTGAGCAGAAGGAAACATTATTTTTCCCCCTCCGGATGCGGCAGGAGGAGGGTTTTGGAGGCGAGGAGGTTGCAGCAGGGAAGGAGGCAGTGGTGCGCAGGCTTGGCACCCATGGCACAGGCTGCCTTGGGCCAAGAGGGCTGGGAGGTGCTGGGGCTGCTTCCGCCGTGCCCCATCTCGCCCGCACCATGGGGCAGGTCGGGGCTGGGGCACACACGGGTGGGGGGTGCCTGCCTGCACCCTGATGGTTGTGGGTGCCTGGTGGGATGTGCTGGCACCCGCCAGCTGGAGCAGGGCAGGTGCGATTTACCACTCGGCAAACATTTGGCACCATAAACGCAGCCAGGAAAACTGGCGTGGTCCAAGCAAACATCCTGGCTCTTCTGGAGCCTTGGGGTGGGACTGTCCCGGGGTGGTGGTTTGAGGTGGGATCGTGCATTGACACTAGGGATGGATTTTACCCTGGATGAGAGGGGTGCACGTGTGACGCATCCCCTGTGGTCCCTGGGGGCTCAACTCGGCTTCCCATCGGTGTTGTGAGAGTGCGATGTGCCCTGTGATGAGCTTCCCAGCTGCAGCAATGCAGGGTATTATTGTTGGGTCCCATCCTGAGCTCAGCGCTCAGTTTTTCCTCTGCTCTTCCTCAGATAATTTCTATTTAAGTTTTTAGGACTCCAGGCTGGGGAAAACTTGAGCAAGAGCCCAGAATTTGGTCCATTACCTCCAAATGTCGCTCGGCAGCTCACTGGGCTTAAAACAGGCCTGGCAAGGAGCGGCGACACAAGGGAGATGGCTTATGAAAACCATGATGCTCCTCGGAAAAGGCACTTATTTGGTTTATGTCTGCTGTACTGGAGTATACAGTGGAAAGCTGCACTGGCTCTTGTTCTCCGCTCCCCTCTCTGGTTTCACACTGCCCAGGTGAGCGCCTGCCATCCCTCCCTGCCGAGGGCATCCTACCTGTTCTGCAAGCCCCCCGGGGCTCGGTGCAATCTGCTTTATGAAACACACAGCAAGCACGCAGAGAAAGAGCGAGGCAGTTTTTTTCCAAGTGGGTGGAGACTCCTTAAATTCCCCTGGCATCAGCCACGGAGTTTTTTCCGAGCCTCCGCTCCAGTGTCTCAGCCCGCCTAGCCCTGGGGGATTTGGGCAGCTTCATCCCCAGCCTGACTCAGCCCAAGCCACTCCTCATCCTCCCTCGTGCGCAGAGAGCTGTGGCAAACAGCCTCATGGTGATCAGTGCTGCCCATGGAGGAGCCACTGATGGTTCGGTGGGGACTGGTGCCATCAGGTCCCCTTCAGCACTGTGGCCACCATTAGGTGGTCCAAATGAGCACTCAAAGTCAGGGATCCCCAGGGATGCTCAGGCATTTCGCCTGTCCCCACTTGCCTATGCAGTGCCCCCCTCCCCTGCCCAAAGCCACCTGGAGATTTAGGGCTCCCAGGTGGGCCGGACCGGCAGCCCCCGTATCCCCAGGGTCCTCCTGCATCTGTGGGATGCCAGCTCCCAGGGAGGAGGAGGAGAGCTGGGAGGAGGTGGCTAGTGGTGCTCCGGGAGGGTCTGGACCCCCAGGTGGTCTCGTCACCCCACGCCTGAGCCCTTCACACCCAGTACTGGTTGTTTTTCAAGGGGGGGTTGGAAGTCCGGCAGTACTGGAGGAGCTCAGGGTCCGGCGGTGCCCCCGGACCTGTGCCCTGGGGGGGGGGACCCATGTCCTTGTCCTCCAGGGCATTGACAGTCGTTAGGGGGATGCCTTGGTTGGGGTCCGTCCTCCGGAAGGTCTCCTGGTCTGGCACGGCCCCGTTCTTGGCCTTGGAGGAGGGGGTGCCCTGGACGTGGTGCTTCCCTGTCTTGTTGCGCTTGTGTAGGTAGAAGAGCAGCGGCAGGATGAGGGCCAGCAGGAGGAAGATGAGGCAGATGGGGATGATGATGCTGAACATGTTGGCCTCGACGAAGCTAAGGAAGGTGCCCCCCTCCACGGGGCTGGGGCTGGTGGTAGCACCGGGGCCCAGCCAGGCAGTTGGGGGCATGCCCAGCTCGCTGGCATTGGGGCTGCTCCGTGCCGTGCCCTGGGGCTGGGGCACCAGCGGCGAGGGTGCCAGGGGGGCTGTGAGCAGGGTGACGCTGTAGGCTTTTGAGGCATTGTAGGGCTCAATGCTGTACCCCAGTGATGCCAGAGCTGGTGGCACGCCGGCAGCCACCAGCTTAAAGACGAAGCTGTCACTCTGCAGGGGCTGGTCAGTCTCCCCAGTGTCCAGCACCTCCAGCCCCACCAGCCCTTGCTCCAGCTCGCTCTGGCTGAAGGTCTTGATCAGTGTGGTTGGTTGTCCTGTGTCCCTGGAGACCCTCACAAGACGGCTGCCACGGGGCGCCCTGTGGATCTTGAAGACTGGGATGCTCTTGGTGCGGTTGGCCAGTTCGCTGGCATCAAGGATGCTGGTGTCCAGGAGGGCCGTGGTGCCCTTGGGCCACACACTGCCCGGCTGAGCCTTCACCAAGGCGCGGACAGTCACGTTTACCACTCCAGTCCTGTTGGCTACCCGTGACATGGCAAGGAACTGGAAGCTGTCCTCAGGAGAGGTGAGGTCGGTGAAGGTGAACGTCACCTCTCCACGGTCCAGCTGCTTCTGTGAGAAGCCCAGCGCTGGCTTTCGGTTGACCTGCACTTGGCCAAACCTTGGGTCCCTGGTGATCCTGTACAGGGCATTGCCTGCCCCCAGCTGTGTGGCTCCTAGGAGGTGATGGTGGGACACCAAGGCCCTGTTCAGGTCTTGGGGCACCTCCAGCAGCACTGGGCTGGCAGCAGTACTCGCTGCAGGCAGCACCTCGATTTCCAGTGAGGTCAAAGTGGGTGGGTGGTGGCCATCGGAGAGGCTCAGGGCTAAGGACCCTGGGGCATGGCTCCCAGTGGCAACAAACACCACGTGGCCTGCATTGACATCTGCTTGGGTGAAGCGGTTGATGGGCTCCTGTGGGTTGCGTGTGTTGGCCAGGTGGCCAGCAAGAGGTCTCTGGAGTACACTGTACACCATCTCCTCTGGAGACCCCGATGGGTCTGCTACATCCAGGTACTCCTGGGACAAGATCACCACAGAGCCTGGTGGGACCCGCAGCACTTCTTGCCGCTTCACCACCTGCGGTGGCTTGTTGCTGCTGCTGGTCACTGTTATATTGAAAGCTTCAGAGATGACCACCCCTTCCTGTGGAGGACGGATGGACTGCTGCAGCCGGGGCCAGAGCCAAGCCTTAAATCTGAAATGGTCATCAGAGACACTGTCTCCACCATGAGCATAGGCCAGGCGCCCCGTGGTCAGGTCTGATTGCAGGAAGAATGGCCGTGACTGCTGCAGGGGCACACCAGCCACCAAGAGCTGCCCATGAGCTGGCAGCCCCGTCACCAGGAAGATAACATCATGTGCAGCCCTCTCGGGGACCGGGATTTGGCTTAGGAGGTTGGAAGCATCCAGCATTGAGGTGTCTATCTCTTCCTGTTGAGCCCTTGCGAGCTGGAGACCTGGGGGGAAAAAGGAAAATGCAAAGGTCTGTCATCCCTAGGAAGAACCAGGATCTGCTGGAGAGGAGAGTGAGGTATAGTAGAAAAAGGATTGCAAAGAAATGGAGAGGGATGAGAAGGCAACTGGGACTTGCACAGAGAGACAGCAAAAGGATGGATGCAATTTTAGATGTTGCTTGATATAATATCAGAGCTTGTGCTTGGGTGGCCATTGGAAATTGCACGGTGGTGTCTTCTTCAGACAAACAAGCACTCCTGAATCTTGCACAATCCCATTTCTTCTCCCTTCCTTCTTTACCTGCATTTCTCCATAACTGAGTTGAGCGCTGGGGACACCTGGCCTCGAAGGAGATCAGCACGAGGAGGATGAAGGAGTCTGAGATGGCTGTGGGAGCGACCACACGGAAGCGGATGGCATCTTGGGTGAGCCAGAAGGGCTTCTCTGGCATCTCATGCTGGTAGAAAATCAACCCACTATCCACCTAAAATAAAAAAAACTCAATGTGCTCTGCTAAATGGCAACATAAATACTCAGAGTGGGTGATACCATGTGGGAGATGGGTGCGTCTGTCTTATCTCTGGTGTGATGGGTACTGTAGCACCAGTGGGGACTTTGGTGACACTGTGTTAGAGCCCCTGTTTGTGCCCCGAGCTCTTGTCTTGGCTGTAGGAAGGAGCAGCCAAGCCCTAATTGGGTAAGAAATGGGGATCATCACCAGCCATGGCATGGTAGCCACCACTGAGAGCTCATGGTGCCTCTCTGTCAGGATGTTTCTGTCCAGCAATTGGGGAAACTGAGGCTCAGAGGAAGGGCTGAGCTTTCTCAGCATCCTCCAAGAGTCAGGCCAGGCTGCCTCTGAGGGTGAGCACAGCATGGGAGAGCTTGCAGGGTGGGCAAACCTGTGTGCTTCTGAGGGAGGGTCAGAAATAAGCCCTTCGCTGTGCTCTGCAAAAGCCTGGCTGTGTAGAAGCGTGGTAGCAAGGACCTGCTTGGAGCTGGGGTGAAAGCATTATGCTTGGCCCTTGCCTTAGGCAGCAGCCAGGATGGCTGGGTCTGCAGCAGAGAGGTAGCCTAAGAAAAGGGGATTTTAACTCCCTGAGCCTCCTCCAGCACTAAATCCAAGGCTGGGGGCCATGGTAAAGCCGGTGCTGGGGCAGCAGCTCTTAATCCCTCTTAGCAGCCGTTGGCAGAGCTGGGAAAGTCACAGTGTGGCTGCAGCCTTGCTCTGCCTCCTGCCAGGGATCAGGTGCCTCTGCCCATGGTGGCAGTGGGGTTGGGCTGGGACCCCTGGGCTGCGGTGGGGGGTGATGGAGGGCTTTGCCTTGGGATCCTGGGTGGCTAGGGGAGGCGAAAGCTCACCTGGGCTTGGGTGAAGTTCCTGATTTCCTCCCCCCGGGAGGTGCTCAGCCTGCCCAGGCGCGGGGCTTGCTCGATGCTGTAGTACAGAGCGGTGGAGCCAGTGGGGCTGTTGCTCACTGCTTGCAGGTTCTGGCTGGTGATGGGCTGCAGGGCACCTGGAAAACACATCCAGTATGGACTTCAACCCGCTGCCTCACCACCTGCCTGCAGCCTCTGCCACGGGCATCTCTTGGCAGCGCTCGGGCAGGGGGTGGTGGAAGGGTCCAAGGGCCCCATTTGCCATTGAACTGGGAGCAAGGGGAATGTGCCCATACCCACCTGGGCAGACGGTGAGGCTCTGCTTCTTGGCCAGGCTGATGAGGGGCTCTCTCTGGGCCCTGACAAGGAAGAAGTGCCCAGGAGACAGGTTCTCACCATCCCACAGGTCGAAGGTGAAGCCCCCATCCAGGGGTCCTGCGGAAAGCACAGAGCTGGGCATTTATGGGGAGCAGGGGGGCTGCAGCCCCCCATTAACCTGACACAGTTTGGACCAGGGTGCTGCATGATGGGGTTAGCATCTGCCTTGGTGGCCACAGTGCATCCCTCCAGTCACCTTCCCTCCTTTGGGCAGGGGGTGACGCCAGGGGGCTGGGGCACCTCAGCTCTGCCCTACCTTGGTGCACGAAGAGGATGAGGCCGTTGTTTATCTGGGCCTGGGTGAACCGCTGGACCTCAGCACCAGGCGCAGACCTCAGCACAACCTTCCCGTTGGCCGGGGGCTGGATGGAGTAGGTCACCTCCTCTGCTGGGGAGTCCTCATCCTCAGCGCTCAGGATGTGGGGGCTGATGGCAGCTGTGGTGCCTTCCCGCAGCTGGGGGATAGGGAGAGGCTGTAATCCCCCTAGGATGCCCCCAGCACTTCTGTCCCCTTCCCCAGCCTGCTCTGGACCCTGTCCCAGCTCAGACCACTTTGCTGGGTGCCTGAGCACATCCCAGCCCAACAAGGATGCCTTGGCCGTGTGCCAGGTGATGCCCCATCGTCTGGCCTCTTCCCAGCCCTCTGTCACCCTGCACCGCTGCCGTGCCAGCCGGCATGTGCCGTGCCACTGGGTCTGTGCATCTGCATGGTGTGCGCAGGACAGGGGAGGGCTTGCCTCTCCATGCCCAGTTTCCCCAAGTGCTGGAAATGGAAGAAGGCACAGTGCTGGCACGGCTCGTGGGGCTGGCACGGCTCGTGGGGCTGGCACAGAGGCTGTGCCTTTGATGTGTCTCTCTCCATTGCTCTGCAGAAGAAGAGCTTTCTGTGGGGTCCCCGAGCCCTGAACTTGTTCCCTGAGCTGCTGCTGTGTACGTGATGACTGCAGCCCCATCTCTCCCCAGCTGGGTGTTTCTCCTAGCTCCTGCTCCCGGCAAAGCACCCTTCCCACCGCCCCCTCGCAAGGCTGCAGCGAGGCCACGAGCAGACCCAGCAAACCCTCCAGGAATGACAAGTATGCAGCCGAGCTCAGGGCCACTGTGAAGCTTCCCAGGGCTGCTTTTCCCCTCCCCGGCCAGCGGTGCCCACCGGCCCCCAGGGATGCTGCCACCCCAAAGCTCTGGCATCTCCCCTCTCCAGCTGGAGGCAAGAATTTTCCCTGCTCCTAATCCTGTGCCGTATCTCAGTCTCGGCAGACCACAGGGATGAATCCTGCACTGCCAGAAAGGTTCTGCCCATGATCCCCAGAGCTGCCTTTTGCCCTCAGGATGCCCCAGAATCTCAGGGTGCGTGGACGGAGTCTTCCCGCAGCTCGTGCAGGGCAGAGGGGCAGGATGCGCTGCATCCCATGGCATCGCAAGCCTGGCCCGCATTCTGCAAACCCACAAGACAACCCCCGGGCGCTGGAGGAGCTGCTCAGCTGGCCGTGCTGGGTTAGATGAGCCCTTTTCTGCTGTTTTCTGCTGGCCTAACCCAAAACATTTCTTGAGTGGGTGTGGGTGCCGACAGTGAAATTAAATCCCTCGGCAGTCCCCGTGGGATGGTGGGAGGCAGGCTAGAAAACACAGCTTTGGAGAGTCGGGATAGGGGAAGCGCTGCTGGACACACGGCTGGTGCGGGAGCTGAAGCCCTCACCATGGGAGCTGCTGCTCTGCCGTGCGTGCACTGAGGTTTTCAGGCTGCTCCCCAGCCCCAGCACCCACAGCCAGGTCACTTCAGCACCTGGTGAAATTGCAGTCACACCTGGGGCTCGGTGCCAAGGAAAACTCCCCATGGTCAAAGCCCAGAGAAGTTTTTGCAGGCAGGGGGGACTGGCAGCCCCGGGGCATCGCTGCCCACTGGGGATGAGCACATGTCGTGGTTGGAGTGGCTTTGCTCACCACTGAGAGCCTGCACCTTCTGAGGCTGACCCACTTCGTCACGCTCCCCGTCCTCTCTGAATTATTAAAGCCTTCCACCTGGTTCCTGCTCTTGCTTACTTGGCTTATTATGTTTGCTCAGCCTCCGTGTCGCCTCTGCTCTCTGGGAGAGCGTGCGAGGAGGCAGCGAAACAGCGCCGGGAGCATGGCTGTGTGTTTTGGTGCAGCTGTGGAATCCTTTCTCTTGTGGCATCCAGCCATCCCTTCTCCTGATGCAACCCAAAAAGTTGCTTGGGGCAAATCTGCCTGGCCCTTTCAAGGGGGTCCCACTTCAGGGTCTGAACCCTGCCCGTTATCTCCCCAGCCCTGCGTGGACTCTGCACCCCCAGCGCTGGCAGGCGCAGGCAGCAGAGGAAGGCTTTGTGCAATCTCTCTCCTGGACCCGGCCTGACCTTTAAACGCTGAAGTCATCTCTCGCCAGAGCACAAACACAGCAGGGCCGGGCCCCTCCTGAGCCCTGAGTTGCTGTAGCATTGCTCCTGCTCGGAGCGGGGAGCCTTTCCCAGCTCCAGAGCCCCTCCTGCGGGCAGCCGGGCGGCTGTGATTACCCCTCCCAGGGCCAGGGGGAATCGCAATGGAAAGGCGGATGGGCCGCTGCCTCAGAGTTTATTTTGGGACCTTTTTCTTTCTTTTCACCCTTTTTTTAGCACCGTGGCTGGGAGGGAAGGACATGCTTCTCTAAATGCCTTGCAATCACTGGGCTAATGGGCTCGCTAGAAATAAGGCAGGGAGGGAGCCTCCTCCTTGCTTTGCCCAGGGCTGGCTGTGTGCATCTGCCCGCGCCCCGGGCAGGGTGCCTGGCACCGGGGACCGAGCTGCCTGCTCTGCCTGCTTCCCCTGCCTCGGGCCCACCCTGCCAGAGCCAGCCCGGAGCAGCCCTTTCGGGATGTGGTTGTCCTCAGCGAGCAGGGAGGAGCCTTTCTGCCTCTGGAGTGGGGACGGGGGGGCTGCCGTGGGCTCAGCAGCCGAGGGGTTAACCTTTCTCTGTCGGGAGTGCAGGATTTTGGCACAGCTGGGGCAGATCATGGAGGCACCACTTAATGCACTATAAAAGGGATTTGCTAGCAGGGGCCTGAGTTACCTGGGCTGGGGGTGTCACTGAGGGTAGCGTGGGCAGGTATGGAGCCAGGGCTGGCTGTGGATGGGGGCACCCCCAAGCTTTGCTGGCAGCCCTGGCCCCTCTCCCTGCTTCTGGGTGGTGCCTGGCCCGCACCCTCCCTTTGGGCATGTCCTCCAGAGCCCAGGCTCCCAGACACCTTCCCAAAGCCACTGTGATGATCCTGGTGTGATGATCTCGATGGAAGGGGCTGCTTTCCCTGCTGCCAGCCTGGGAAATCCTGGGATGGGTGAGGATGGGTTGGGGGGAATGATCCTGCCGGGCTAGCACTCCTGCATGTCTTCTAATAATTTCTCTGCTGCAGTTTTGCATTAGTGATCCTGAACGGGGCAGGGAGGTATCTGAAACAGAAGGTGGGACTTCCAGCAGCAGGTGAGACCTATCTGCTTCTGACTGTACTGATACGGGCATTCATTATCTCCTGCAACACATGCTGCTGCAGAGGGGATGGGAAAGCTGGGCACAAGGAGAAGCGTGGGGGCTGCCTAATTAATTATTTCCAATCTGTGCCGATGAAACGGGCAAGCTGCTCTTCGTGCTCCCGGGCATTATCCCGGGACCCGGGGAAGGGCGAGCAGAAGGGGGGAGGCGAGGAGCCGCCGCCGGCCTGCCCTGCCTGCCAGCAGGCAGCTGCCTGCCGCCGTGGCAGGGCGGGGCCCCCGCGCGCGGG